GTGATTGGGGCTGAGCTGGTAGCTCTGCAGGGAATTCAAGCCCACGTCCGGGTCAACAGCCTCTGGGAGTGGATAGCGTGTGCCAGGCGCCGCAATTTCGTTAATATTTATTTCCAGATTTTCTGCCTGGAATGTTGGGGCATTGTCGTTCATATCAGTGACTTCTATTTCTATTCCATAAAGCTGCACTCTGTCTTCAACCAGAACTTTAAAGTTAAACAGACACCGTGGGCTCTGAGCACAGAGCTCCTCCCGGTCTATCCTGCCTGCGGTGACCAAGCTGCCACTCCGCGGGTTGAGAGCGAAAAGCTGCGTCCTACCTCGGGAGACGATGCGGACTCCGCGCTCCGCCAGCTCCTGCGGCTCCAGCCCCAGGTCCTTGGAGATGTTGCCCACGACATAGCCTTTTACTGTCTCTTCAGGCACGGAGTAGCGGATCTGGCTGGCCCGGATCTCGCACAACCTTCCCAGGAAAAGGCAGAGCAGGACCAGTCCTCTGTGGCGCGGGCTGTTCATTGGAGCCGCCATTGTTGCTTCACTCCGGATTTTTTCCCCCCCAGACTGCTTTTTTCCCCACGCTGACTCCTTAGGTTCTTTTCTCCTCCTGCAAATTAAGGTCGTCTTTTTCCTCAAGAGAGACCCGGAGTGCCCCAAGTGAGGAGGCTGAGTTTTGTTGCCGTCCCGGGGTTGGTATGTGGGATCCGGGGGGCTTTGTGTAGTTGGCAGATTCTAATATCCGGAGGGAGCGCTGATTTTTTCCTAGAGTTGGTGAACAGCGGCGCTCAGAGTCCTAAGCAGTTACTACACTCACAGATAGCAATACAGTACTTGTATCACAGATGATTGAAGGAAAACACTACTCTCTTCTAATTACGATTTTAGATTTCTCTTAATTATTTCTTATGTTCATATTTCAAAAGCAATCATCTTTGTGGATGTCTTAGTGGAATGAAGTGGAATGAAATTTCTATTAAGTGTATTATTTAATCGCCAGTTTTCTTAATATCAATTAACCTTAATTTTGAGTAGAGTCTAGCTTTCTCTCTATTTTAAATTTTAGACATATATGTACCTTACATAATTTATATTGAATGAATATATAAGAATTGATTTTTTCACTTTGAAGTTATTTCATAAGGTTAATTATTTTTATAGTAAAATTCGAGTAAGGGTTCCTTAAAATTTTATTTGCAAAGTAATTTTAATTAGGCAATAGATGTAAACTTTCTCACCTAATATTACTAAATTTAAAAAGCATTGGTTATTAAATTTTACATATTTGTGATTGTAAAACTTATGCTGTTTAAAAATTTTTTAGTTTTTTATGTGAATACATGATGCATTTGGAAGATTCAGATGAACATACACTGAAAAGCAGGTTTTTCATTTCAGTCCTTCCATGAAGAAATCATGCAATTTTAAAGTAGTCTTAAACTTCTTATTCTAAGAGTCACTGAAACTTATGTAACAACTTGGAAAAAAGAATACAAGATATAGACAAGTTGTTACCACTAGAAAGGAAAAAGCAAGTGCCTTTATAATAAATTACTTTCAGCCATTTGCAAAGGCCCCATTTACTGAAGCAGTTCGTAAAGGAAACCAACAAGACTGGTGCTTATTTAATGGCAACGTTATATATGCATGGAATTAGAAGTTTTTGTCTTTAAAATGGAGAAGTTATCATTCTCTTTTCCTAAACTTCTTATTCTAAGAGTCACTGAAACTTATGTAACAACTTGGAAAAAAGAATACAAGATATAGACAAGTTGTTACCACTAGAAAGGAAAAAGCAAGTGCCTTTATAATAAATTTCTTTCAGCCGTTTGCAAAGGCCCCGTTTACTGAAGCAGTTCGTAAAGGAAACCAACAAAACTGGTGCTTATTTAATGGCAACATTATATATGCATGGAATTAGAAGTTTTTGTCTTTAAAATGGAGAAGTTATCATTCTCTTTTCCTCCTACAGATACAATGATGATGACAGAATTTCTAGTTAAGTTTTGGGCACCAAATAATTACACAAATCTAGTTTGTTCCCCCTTTGTTTCAAAAAATAGAGGTCAGAGATGAGAGTGTTAGAGGCAGTGGCATTTCCTTTTCTTTTATCAAGTCTCCCCTGATAACTATACTGTAAAAGGAAGAGGAAGATTTTGCATTCAAGAAAACTTGAAGGAACTTACAAAATGATTTGGACCTTCTGTTGAGTTAATTGAGTCTCTCCCCGCCCCCTTCTCTCTCACACACACCACAGATTATTTTTTCTTACAATTTTAAGGGATTCAAAAAATCATGAGTAGGTAGATATAAGGAACAAGACATGAAGAATAAACATAAACAAGGGAGAGAAACAGTGCCAGTGAAATCAGTGAAGGAAAATACCTGGGTGTAGTTTTTTTTGCTCTAAAGGATTAATAAATGATTGCCTACTTTAATGTTTACTTATAATACAATATTTAACATGTTAAATGAGGAATGAGACAATTAGTGGGTAAATTTCAATAGCTTTGAAAAAGAAGTAAGAAATCGGTACAATAATTTTGTTATGAAAAAAGAACACACTCTCATCACTTTGAAAATCCAAACTTGGTAAGATAACTCTGTTTTATGGCACATAACTACTCCCGATTCAACACTCCCCTTGAAGAATGAAAGTTCAGCTTTTTGACAGGCTATAGTATCCCTAAAACAACTCGCTAGACTCGGAAGTGTAATATCTTTTCATATAAATACAGAAAATTGGGTCATTGATGAAAAGGACTAGACACTTAAATGGAACTCACCGTTGTTAGTGTTTCAGGATGGGAAGTTGATTCACCAGAACTACAAAGTGGAAATAAGGCCCCAGATGCATCACCACAAAGTATGTCTTGTCCTGAACTCAACTGCTCATTACATTTTAGAAAATTAAACTCTGTCTTTCCAGCTTGGGCCACGCACAGGTTGTAGGAATAAGGTAAAGTGCCTTCACTGTAGTTGGGGGGAACCACAGGTCCAGACTTGACACAGAGACCAGGTTGAAAGCAGCCCCAGGTGGTGGGGCTGGAGGGGCGTCGAAGCCGCAGGGCGACCGCCAGAATCACCGCGAGGAGGAAGAGCACTGAGATCAAGGCCAAGGCCACTACCAGATAGAACTGCAGCTCAGCCTGGGAGTCAGAGGGCTTAGGACTTTCGCTCAGGTCCGGCAGCGCCTCTTGTAGGCTGTCAGCAAAGACCAGGAGCAGCGTGGCGGTGGCTGAGAGGGGTGGCTGTCCCCCGTCCCGCACGGCCACCAGGAGGCGCTGGCGGGCCGCGTCCCTGTCGCCCAAAGGTCTGGCCGTGCGCACCTCGCCGGTTCGCAGCCCCAGGCTGAACAATCCGGGCTCGCTGG